GGAGATGGTGATATTGGTGATAGTGGTGATAGTGGGGGCGGAGATGGTGATCGTGGTGACCATGGCGATAGTGACGATGAGGATCATGGTGGTGGGAGTGGGGGTGATGGGAGTGGTAGAAGTGGTGAGGATAATGATGGTGATTACAGTAGTGATGGTGATGATGATGGTGGTAGTGACAGTGTTGAGGATGTTGAGTGTGTCAATGGTAATAATGATGGCGATGGTAGTGATGATAATGATCAGAATGGCGGTGGTAATAGTGATGATGGTGATATTGGTGATAGCGGTGACCGTGGCGATAGTGGCGATGAGGATCATGGTGGCGGGAGTGGTCGAAGTGATTAGGATAATGATGGTGATAAGGATCACAATTACAGTGCTGATGGTGGTGATGGCGGTGATGGCCTACCATCACACAGTCTGAGACATACAAAAGGTAATTGAGAAATGCCCATAGATGTGTGAGTTGTTCTGGAAACCTATGTGGTCCCTGAGCTAAAAAGAAAAAGAGACATAGACATAAGTAGACATTAAACTCACATTTGTGAATCAACTGGGTGCCTATCAAGTGTCATATAGAACACATTACTCATTTATATCTCACAGCAAGTCATTGACAGAGATCCTAACTTAAGGATGAAAAACGGAGTGAACTAAATTAAATGACTTGCTCAATTTTACTAACTTAGGAGATAAAGATGCCTGGGTTCAAATTTTATATTCCTTCAATCATGCAACCTTCTGCACAAATAACAAATTAACAGAACCAGGGAAAGCCCCATAATTCTTTTTCAATACAGTAATGGTTTCAAAGTACTAGCTTTATCTTTTTTCAAAGAAGCCTCATCTCTCCTAAAATACCATGTGAATCCCCTACCAAGCTTCATTCGCCTTTACACCTGATCAAGATTGACGCAGCCCTGAGGGTGACAAGCTTAATAATTCTGTTTTAATGTTGACATAAAAAGAAAAGAAAACACAAGGAAGTGGCCCTACCACTGGGAGGTAGCAAGCAGCCATCGGGCAAAGCTCTCTTTAGAAATAGCCATAGATAAATGTTACCTAATTCTATTCCTCAGGGTTAATAGGGTTGAATTTTCTGTGTCTGCTCTGTCAGGGTCTATCTGGCTGGGCTTTGCATTCCAATTCTGGCTTTGTCAACTTCTGTGTGTGTGTGTGTGTGTGTGTGTGCGTGCGTGCGTGTGTGCGTGCATGCCAGCACTGAGATTTGAACTCAAGGCCTCATACTCTCGTTTGTCCTTTTCACTCAACACGGGAGCCATACCTCTAGTTCTTGGTTTTGCTAACTTCTGAAGGACCTTTGGAGGAGCAATGGAGTCCAAGGTTGGGGTAAAGAGGCTAACATGTACTTCCTTTCTACAGTACCTTAACCTTTACTCCCTCCATGAGTGAAAGGTCTTCTATGGATCTATGTTGTCTCAAGATGAGGAAATGAAACCCAGCCAGTACATGTCATGGTTTCTCAGCTAATGCTAAAACAGAACCTCATTCCTGAGCTCTGTGCCAGCCAGGGCTATGCTCTAAATTCCCTCAGTGGAAAAGGACAGGCCCCTGAGATCAAGGCTTTGTAAGCCAGCTTGCTTAGATTCAAACCCAGCTGTGCCACCTCAGGCTGCGTGACTTCCAGATACTGACCTAACATCTCTGAACCTCAACTTTCTCAGTCTGCTTGATGGAATTCTTTTCTTATTTCCTGTAAGAGAATTTATAGATATTTCACAGCATACACCTTGATGCACTGTGAGCATTGGATAAATGTAGTTACTAATTATACCACATGTGTTACTTATGGTTTGGATGTCTCTCACAAGCTGTGCGTTATGGGTTTGGTAATTAATCTGCTGCACCATGGAAAAATAATGGAACTTTTAGAGGTAGGGCTGAGTGGAAGAAGTAAGGTCTTTTGGGGGGGGAGGGAGGTTGCTCTTGAGAGAGATTTTAGAACCCTAACTTCTCTTCTTCATCTTTCTTTGCCATGGAGAACAGCCTGAGTTACCTCAGGCCCAAAAGAAATGGAACCAACCAACCATGCACTGAAACTTCTAAATCTAATAGCCAAAGTAAACCTTTCCTCTTCTTCAGTTGATTGCCTCCAATATTTGTTACAGTAAGAGGAAGCTGACTAACACAAAACTAGAACTATTCTATAGGCCTCTGCTCTCAAGTTGGTTTTTTTTCTCTTCTTTAACTGCTTGAGGCTGAACCCTGACTTTAAAGACTAGTACAGTCCATTGTAGTAATCCCACAGGCTAGTTCTGCACAGGGACCAACCACTCTGGCTATTTGGAAGAGCGAGCAGAGTGGTGATGGTGACAGGAAAATTAGATGTGAGTTCATAAAGCTGATAGAGCGGTGAGTGGCTAATGTAGTTTTGGGCTTTGTTCCCAGTGGCGTTATCAGCAGAGAATAGAGGTGAGTCTCTTTTTTTTAACAGCCTTTCTCAAGCCCTACCTGGAAAAATTACATTAAGTTCTGGGCATTTCAATACCATAAAAGATGTAGGGGGTGTGGGGGGAAGCTGTAGGGAGTTCAGAGAAGAGTAATAAAAGTGATGGGAGGTTGGGAGACTTGATTTACTAGGAAAGATTAAAATAACTAAGTATGCACAGCACCTCGGGAGGTGAGTGCCTTGAGCAGTAAGGGAAACCTAGCAGCCTATAAATAACAGGGACGTGTAAACACCCTCAGGAAGAGTTATTTAGCATGGTACGAGGAGACACTACCCCCCGTGATGGGGGGAAGATGAAGAGAACAATTTATGAAGAACATTGGGAACGCTGGGTTGTTAGCTTTGGTTTTTCTTTCTTAAAGACAGCAAGAGAGAGAAGTTAAAGTTATACCAAGCACGTTCCAATTTAGCAGAGGAAAGGCCGTTTTTCTAAGCCATATGAATCCCCAAGCTTTGCATACAGGCTGTCTCAACCTGTACAGCACTTGACTCCCATGCTTCCTGTGGGGTGATAGGGGTGGGGTGAGTGGAAAGGATCTCGTCTGGGTCAGTACTGGTGCTCAGTCTCTGATACAGAGCACTGCTCAGAAGTCTCCTTTCATAAATATGGGCTGAATGAAACATGACATAGCATGTTGTTCAATAGCAGAAGATGTTTAGCAGTATCTTTATTGTGGGTTGTGGGCTAGAGAGTTTGGGGGTTAAATGAACTACTATAAGAATATAGAGTTTACAATGTACAGCACACTAATATGCTTTTATCTTTGTCTTTCCCCCATTAAAAACATATGCAACGGTTGATGGATAAAGAAAATGTGGTATATGCATACAATGGAATAGTATTCAGCCTTCAAAGAGGAAGACATCCTGCTAGGTGTCAGTAGATCACACTTGTAATACCAGCTACTCAGGAGGCTGAGATCTGAGGGTTGTTATTTGAAGCCAGACCAAAAAATACAAAAGTCTCTTATTGCCAACTAACCAATGAAAAACCAGAAGTAGAGGCATTGCTCAAGTGGTAGAATGCCAGCCTTGAGTGAAAAAGCTAAGAGAGCCAGGCTCTGAGTTCAAGCCCCAGTAATGGCGCGCGCGTGCGCGTGCGCGCACACACACACACACACACACACACACACACACACACACACACACACTGACATCCTGCCAGTTAGGATACCATGGATGATCCTAGAAGGCTTATGCTAAGTGAAATAAACCAGACACAAATTAATGAATATGTATGCACTCATATATAAGGGGAAGAAATTGTGGGATGAGTTTGGGGAGGTACAGTATTTTAGAGATACTGGGAAGAGAGAGAGAGAGAAGCAAATGATAACTGTGAAGAAAGTGTGCCCACATGGGCAGTCAGATTAGAATTTGTTCTGCAAGACAGGGGTAGGGGAGGGGCAAAAGTTCCTAAAGCAGTGTGAACAAGCTGCAATTTAGCTAAAGAACCCCACATGGCTCAAAATGCAAAGCGTCCATTCCTGCACATTTGGCAAGAACAAACTCCAACTGACCTTAGGCTCACCCCACTCTGACCTATACCTCTATGAAGCTGTGCATAGACCAAAACCTGATCAATTGTTCCATGTGGATGTTGGCACACCCTGCTATGGGTGTTCTCTTAATAGATAGGATACATTTCAAGTCACCTTTGTAAAATCTGGAGCATTCAGAACACAGCTGGTCCTGCAACGCTGTACCATCCTGGCAGCTTTATGTGGGATGGTGGGGGAAGGCAGGGGGCTGAGCTGTGGAATGCAGTTGAGGTAGTGGTGGGGTTGAAGATGGGGTGGAGCAGAAGGAATAGAAAAAAAATGTTTTTTTTTCTTTTTTTCTGTGTGGGGGGGGCAGGAAGGAGGAGGTGTCCTGGGGCTTGAACTCAAGCCCTGGGTGCTAGCCCTAAGCTATTGTACTCAAGATTCATGCCCTACCACTTGAGCCACAGCTCTACTTCTGGCTTTTTTTTGAGCTTTTATTTTTTATTTATTTATTTATGTTTTGTTAGTCATGGAGCTTGAATTCTGGGCCAGGGCGCTGTCCCTCAGCTCTTCAGCTCAAGGCGAGTGCTCTACCACTTGAGCCACAGTGCCACTTCCAGCTTTTTTCTTTTTGCTTATATGGTGCTGAGGAATCGAACCCAGGGCCTCATGCATGCAAGGCAAGCACTCTACCACTGAGCCACCTTCCCAGACCCTTTCTTTGGAGTTTTTAATTGGAGATAAAAGTCCCACAGATGTTATGCTTGGGCTGGTTCCAAACCATAATCCTCAGATCTCAACCTCCTGAGTAGCTAGGATTACAGGCGTGAGCCACCAGTGCATGGCTAAGAAAAAACTGTTTAAAATAATTTGGTTATGACTCAACAAGACTTGGTGACCATAATATGCAGAATAGGAGTGGCAGGGAAAGACAAGGAGGTGTAAGTTTTCTCTTGTTGACTCTCAAGTACGTAGCAGATGCTGTGGTGAAGGCAGGCATCCTAGGAGGGGGAGCAGGTTCAGGTAATCAATCAGCTCTGAGTGTACTGAGTTGGGCAAACAATACAAATGCCAGCAACGATTACAGGTCACATATTAGCTCACAGGAGATTCTTGCCAGTGCAAAGGAGAAAATTTAAATTTCATAGATGAGATCCATCTACAAGTAAAAGAAGAAGGCGAAGAGAAGAGGCAATTCCAAAGTCCTCTGTAAGCCAGGTGCTGATGGCTCACACTGTAATCCTAGCTACTCAGGAAGCTGAGATCTGAGGGTCACCATTCAAAACCAGCAGGGGCAGGAAAGTCCATCAGACTCTTATCTCCAATTAATCACCCAAAAAAGCTGGAAATAGAGCTCAAATGGTAGAGTTCCATCCTTGAACAAAGATGCT